AGGTTGCTATGAGCTGTGTTACCATGGCACGCTACCTAGGGCAAAAGGTTGAGACACTGTCTCAAAAAATAAATAAATAAAATCCATTGGTGTACCTTGCACTCATACCCCATGCATGATTTTATAACATCAAACATTTGAAAAATACTGGTTCCCTGAGTTATGCAGATATTCCAAATGTCACATTTCATGTACAACCTCATCATTCCTTATGTAACCTCTGGTAAAGTCTCTTGTTTACTTGTGAGAGAATAAGTGAAAAGGATAAGAGCATTTTAGTAGTATGGACATCTTGGATCCTGGCTTAGAGGGAACCCATAGGGTTTCTGGACCACCCTTGGAGAACATTGGATAGAATTCCTATAAACCCTTTACCTCAGAGTCACACTCATCAGTTTTATCCTTTGCCCCTTTGTTATATTATTCTGTGTTTCAGGGGGTGTCTGTGTGCATGTGTGTTCTTAGTCACTGAGAATAAGTTGTAGACATGCCCTTTTACCACTAAACATTTTAATGTGTATTTCCTTAGAAAATGGTTCTAGTGTTCTCTAGTGAAATTTTGCAATGTTTGGAGACATTTGGGGTTTTTATAATGAAGGCATCACGTGAGTGGAACCAAAGATGCTGCTGAGCACTAGGCAGTACAGACTGCTTAGCCCAGAGTGGGGCAGTGCCAAGGCTGAGATCCTCGCTTTAGAACAAGGACACTCTCTGATAAGACCACAGTTCTGTTACCAGAAAAGGAAATTTAACACATTTAATAGCTATGCATTAGATTTGATGTCTAACACATAGTTTATATTCAAACATTGGATATTTTTCCAATTATAACTTTGGTTTTTTTTTGTTTTTTGTTTTTTGTTTTTTTAAGACGGAGCCTCAAGTTATCCCCCTGGGTAGAGTGCCATGGCATCACGCTCACAGCAACCTTCAACTCCTGGGCTAAAGCAAGTCTCCTGCCTCAGCCTCCCAAGTAGCTGGGACCACAGGTGCCCGCCACAACGCCCGGCTAGTTTTTGGTTGCAGCCATTATTGTTGTTTGGCAGGTCCGGGCTGGGGATTCGAACCCGCCACCTTAGGTGTACGTGGCTGGCGCTTTAGCCGGTTGAGCTATAGGCGCCGAGCCAACAAGAACATTTTCATGACAGTAGCATTATTTTGTTTTTACAAATCTTGTAAAATGTCTGGCTTGACAGGACAACTGAATTCTCATTTGATTCTGCATTCAGTCTGTCTATCAAATATGCTGTTCTGGTTTAAGTAAATGAAGTAGTAGTCTTTCAGCTGCTTGTGGCTATTCTTTGATACCATACAAAAATTCAACAAGTAGTAGTTTCTTAAAAATTACTTGTAGAGTCTGAAACCATTTCAGTGAACTTGTTGTACTGCTCACTTCAGCTCAGCAGCTAGGGTACCAGCCACATGCTCTGGAACTGGCAGTTTGAATCCGGCCCAGGACTGCTGAACAGCAATGCCAACTACAGCCAGGAA